TGGTTAGACGTCATTGGGGACTCAAACCTGGTTGTGTCTCTAGCAAAAAGAGACTGGAAGGTTAAATAAGAAATGATGAAAATCTATTACCAAACCCTGGACGTTTTAATTCCCAGGTTTGAGAGGCTAACCTTCACGCATCTGTTAAGAGAGAGCAACAGGTTCGTTGACGCTTTATCAACTCTATCTTCCATGATAGACATCCCTTTGGGACTCCGGATGCATCCAATCATTATTGAACAGAGATATGTGCCAGTTTATGAGTTAATCGCCGCAATAGATGAAGTACAAGATTAGAACCCCTGGTATCATGATATCTGGAATTTCTTGGAAAATGAGAGTTATCCACTAGGGGCAAATGCCAAAGATAAAAGAGCAATATGGCGAATGGCTGCTCAGTTTATTATCTGCGAGGGTAAATTGTACAAATGAGGCCATCTGGGAATGCATAAACTGTGTGTTGATGAAGAAGAGTCAAAATGCCTAATGGAGGCCATCCACGGAGGAGAGTGTGGATCGCACATGAGCGGAGTAATGCTTGCTCGAAAGATTCTCAAGCAGGGTTACTACTGGTCAACTATGGAGGAGAATTGTATTGGTTTTGTTCAGCGATGCCATAAATGCTAGATCCATGCAAATCGCATGAACATCCCGCCATCAAAGCTGTACAACATCACTTCACCGTGGCCATTTTCAGTTTGGGGAATTGATGTATTGGGGCAGTTACTCCGAAGGGGTCAAACGGGCATGAGTACATCCTGGTGGCAATAGATTACTTTACAAAGTGGGTCGAGGCCCAATCCTACACAGTGCTGAAAGTGTTGCACGTAGCCAAGTTCATCAAGAATAATATCATCTGTCGTTATGGGGTCTCAAATGAGATCATCTCGGACAATGGTTCCCACTTCAAGAAGGAAGTGATCGACTTGTTGGAGAAATACAACGTGGCTTTTCATAAGTCGTCCACATATCGACTGCAAACCAACTGAGCTATTAAGGCCGCCAACAAGAATATTAAGCACATCCGATAAAAGATGGTGGAAACCTACAGGGACTGGCCAGATAAGTTGTCATTTGCTCTTTGGGGCTACAAAACATCAATTCAAACATCTACTGGGGTAACTCCGTATTCTCTAGCTTATAGGATGGAAGCTATTCTGCCGATTGAAGTTGAAGTTCCGTCACTGCGAGTTATGGTTGAGTGCAAAATAGCAGAAGTGGATTGGTAGTAGAGCAGGTTCGAGGAACTTATGATGTTCGACGAGAGGAGGCTGAAAGCACTGTACCATGTCCAAGGATATTAACGCAGGATTGCCAGGGCTTTCAACAAGAAAGTTAAGTCCAAGAATCTGAAAGAAGGGGGATTTGGTGCTCAAAGACAACCGAGCTCCCATCCATGACCCTAGGGGCAAGTTCAGACCTAATTGGACTGGCCCTTACATCATCAAATCAATTTGGTCAGGTGGAGTTGTCATCCTTATGGACTTAGATGGCCTTGAATTCTCCCAACCAGTCAACATAGACAAGTTGAAGAAATACTACCCTTGAGAGGCTCGCTAGACAGAAAACCCAAAAGGGCGACTTAGGCAAAAGTCAGAGCACAAAAAATTTGAAACAAGAAAAACTGAGCTCGCAAGGTTGAAAACCCATAAAGGGCAGCCTTGGCAAAAGTTAGAGCACAAAAGGAGAGTGTTAGTACTCGAGTGAACTCAAACTGAACTACGTAAGGCTTGATTCCCATCTTTAGGATACGTAGGCAACTTTATTCTGAAGTCCAGCCATAAACACTTCCAAATCAACTGTGTCCATGTGATTGTTTTGGTCATCTTTGTCTTTTCTGTGTCCAAGAGTTCGATTGTGATCTTTGCTATCAGAGCTGGTTACAGTACAGTGCTATTCAGACAAGGGGCAATTTTCCAAACATTGGGTTTGGGGTTGTATATCTCAAGGATAGATTCCAGGTGTGTCCAGTTGTGATCCTTATCGAAAATGGTTTTGAAAAGTTTTAATAAAAGTTGATTTTGTTCAAATTAATCTTTTTACAACTTAGACCATCTTTGGATCAAAAGGAAAATTTTAGACCATCTTTGGACCAAAAGGAAAATTCCATTGATTTCAATACAGAGTTCTCCGACTCTTGATACAAATCAAAGTTGCTTTTTATTACATTCAAAAGGAAAACTTGAAAGTATAGATTAAAGCAATAAACTTGGGGCATAGTTGAGTAAAGTGTTTTTCCGTCCCCTCTCAGAGCTTGTGGAAACTTCGGATGCCAAAATAGGCTCGGTTTGTGCCTCATCTTCAAGCCAAGCTATGCATTCATCTGAAAGGACACAACTGAAATTGAGAGTGGGAGCCAGAAGTTCTCTTGTCCTCTATGCAGTGGTATATCGAGCTAGTTGTGAGCCTCAGATTGGAAATGGAGCCGGGTACTCTACCCCCTCTTCTAGGCAAGTATGGTCCTGTCCGAACTGACGCCAAAACTGAAATGGAAATTAGAAGACACAGTGTGTTAAACCAATCAGCTAAATGCCAGGTTGGCGAGACATGATGTAGCTCATCTTAGGCAGATCAAACCAGGGGCAATGCCAAGCAATGTCAGTAGCAAAACGGTTGCACATCTAGTGGCACCACCACCCCTCGTTCGGGAAATCGACTAGCCGTTGGCGAAAGAAAAAGCCTCGTGCTGAATATATAGGGCAAGAGTCCGCTACTTTCAACCTGTCCATCAGCCATACCTAGGGAGGGATAAAAAATAAGAGAGATTAAAGAATAGAGAGGTGTATGTGGAGAGAAAAAGTGAGAAAAGGGTTTTTGAGAGAAAAACAGAGCCTGAGGACCGAGTGATGTGAGAAACACATGTGAAAAGGTTGGGAAACATTACCTGTAAGAGTAGTGGACTTCCTGCGAACCTGGCCGTCTCCCGGCGATGAAAAGCATCCAAGCCCATCAAAGTCTCGGCTAATGCTAAGCCAATACAGCTCTTGCCCTCTCTCAAGCCTTGGGCCACTTCGATCAAGCAAATGCTAGACCCTCCAAAACCAAGGGCAAGCAGAAAATGAGCTAACATACACAAGCAAAGGGCATGCTGTTGAAAACCATGCCAGAGACGGTCGCCGCGGTCACCAACATCAGAAAACCGATGAATCAAGCTGGGAATATCCAACTCTCCGTTATGAACCAAAGATCGGGCATCGTGTAAAGTGAGCCCACACATCCGTCCTAAAGATTGGATGTGGCCAAAATGGGACTGGGGCAGGATTTCCTCATCACACTGCGATTCCATCAAAGCTTGGAATTCTTCGAATGTGGGACATATCTCTTGTCCCCGAAGCTAAAAACATGTGTAATCGAATTCCCACATCTAGCCGCGGCATGAAGGAACGGAAAACACAGTGGGGTACGACTCAGCGGGAATAGTGCATTTATCCCAAAACCCCAGAAATTTAACTTTTCCGAGCCATCTAAATTCGCAATCCAATCGAAGAGTTTTTCGATGAAGAATGGCTCTATTTGGGGCAAAAATAGAGCTAGAATGAAGAAACCATGAAGCTGGAGCTTTTGTAGAAGATAAGACAGTGAATGGAGGCCAGGTATCAATGTTTCGGAGGTTCTGCTCATCGATGGCCGGCAGAGGCACATCAATGGCGGGCAGGAGCACATTGATGGCCGGCAGAGGGGAAATGATGGCCGGCAGCCTCCCTTTCATGCTCACTGACCTTCTTTGTGAAGATTCAGTTGTTTTCAGCAGTTGTATTTTGTTATTGGCATCTTTTGAGGTCTTGTTTTTGGTCCTTCTGGGGCTTGAGCGTGTTTATTTAAGTTGTAATCGTCTGGTTTTGTTTTGTTTTGTTTTATTTTTTTTTGTTTTTTATCGAGTCCTTGTCTTGCTTATCGAGTTGTATTTACATTGATTAGCCTGTCAAGACCTTGTGTTGTTTATCGAGTTATTTTGTTCTTTCAGTTGTTGGTTGGTTCACTACCTGATTAAGACAATATCATTAGAATGTGTAGTTTTCAAAAATGATCAATCTCATTTTCATGTTGTGCGATGTTATGCGATGCTCAGAATGCAAAATGCAACACTTTTTAAATCAAAAGTTGAGTTTTCATTCCAATCGTAGTCACTTTTTGCAAAAGAGTACTAGTTTTACAAAGAAAATAAAAACTGCCTAAGGTTGTACAATGTGCTAACACTACTAGCAAAAAGAAAACAAAGCCAAAAGCATCTAAATCGGCGCAGCCACCTCAAGCTCGAGAGGCTCTCTTCGTCCTCTTCCTCGGCGGAGTGGACTCTGAAGCACTATCTCTATCGGCACCATTGTCTGAATCTGAATCAGAGTCTGAACTGGAGCCCTCCTCCGTCTCTCCAGCCTCACCCCTAGCAGAATCCGAGCCGGCGTCATCGTCTCCATCGTCAAATGATTCTGACTGTGGACTCGCTACGCCACCCTTACCCTCGCTCGTCTCATCATCATCCTCGTCCAGAATGGGCTCTGAGGGGCCACTCTCGCTGCGAATGCCCTTAGCTCTACCTTGGCTACGTGTCGGAACCTATCTCCCTCTCCTCCCTACTACTGGAGGAGGTACTGAAGGTCTTGCTGCGGCTTCTACTGGGGCATCCGATGGAGCTGGGGTCTGAAAATGGCAGTTTGTCAGAATACATTAGTTGTGGTGTATATCAGATACAGTGTATGGATGCAGTGTATGTGAGCAGAGTATCTATGCAGTGTTTTGATGCAATGAATTAGGTTAGTGTAGTTTGGAGCAGGTTACAGTTAAAATGCTAATGCGTCAACAGAGAATTTCATGGCATGAAGTGCAAACTGAAGGAAATTACTAGAATCCTGTAGAGGCTGAGCAGGTTCATGCTTGTTTGAACCATCCCTATCAGAGAAGCCACTAGCTTGAGAGCCTGCCCGGTGTACTCTATGGATGCCTGTAAATGTGTTGAGATGCTTAGTGGTCTATAAAGCATAATTGAAATGAATTGAATGCACAAAATGTAAAGTGTGGTACATACCGGGGTCGGGACTCGAACTTTGACAAGCTTGTGACCAGCTGGTGCGAGCTCAATGGGAATCTGATAAGTCTTCCCGGTGGGTCACCAGTAAGTCAATGTAGTAGGCAGCTCTGGCCATCCCGCCCTCTGTCTCTCTCCAGAATCTCTCCTACCACGGGTCCTGGTCGCTCTGGCCCCTCTGCCTCTCTCTCTCTCGTAGCTGGAGCTTTTGCTCCCTCACCTCTACGAATGCCGGTCAGAGGCGGCATCAGATGTGTTTGGATGAAGGTCGCATAATCGCCCATTACACGAAAGTAGTCCGTCTCCAGTCCTACCATGAACTGGATCACCTTCTTAGCTGAAAGTCTGTGCGTCGCCCTCATGGACACTGGAAGCACCATCGGTATGAATAGGGCAGGCAGTCCTAAAGTCTGGTGTGCGAAACACTCGCCAAGAACCAAGCGCGATAGATTGGGCCCTCGAGAAGGATATGATGGCGAGTGATGACCCTAGCTGTGTCATACTGGAATGGAAGCCCCGATGGTATTGCGTCCCATGGCTGCCATGTGATCTGAAAATAAGAGAATGAACAGATGATTAGTCGTTGTCAATTAATTAATGGGTGTATCTAGTTAATTGAAAAGCAGAATAACTTTGTTTTGGGTTACCTTGTGTGCCACGACCACGTCGAAGTACTAGCTGAAAAACATGAAGTTTCCCGGGTCCTACGATAGAGCTGGCCGTCGTATACCCGAGAAAATGAGACTATCGCTAGGACCTCCTTTATAGGCTCGGGAGCAAGAGCCGGGAAGTATGCGTACACCCACAGCTGCAGGGAAAGTGTGATCAATGCAGTGTATGAGCAGATACAGAAGATGTAAAGTAGAAAGCATGCAGTGTATGAGCAGATACAGGAAATGCAAAGTAGAAAGCATACAGTGTATAAGCAGATACAGAAAATGTAGAGTAGAAGGTACATGTGTTGAACAAATGTAAAGCAAGAAATACTAAGCAGAAAATGTAAAGTGAAAGGGGAAACTAAGCTATGTACCTCCCAAGCCCGCCAGTAGCCATCGTTCAAGCTTCCACTCATGCGAGAAGTCGGGCTCATGTATCCATATAAAGTGGTGAGGCCAACTCCGCCCCAGTCATAGAACTAAACTCACTGGCGCATTACTAAGGCGCTTAACGGATACAAGCCAACGGTATTCCACCTGTTCAAAAACAAGGTGGTACCGAAAAGGAACATAAGGAAGCCCCTGGCATACTTCTCTGTCTCCTCGACCGTCTCGGGCCCAGACCCCCTGAACTGCTCCTCGAACCAGCTATACCGGACCATGCCTAATCGAAGTGTCGGTGGGTGTGTCCCAAGCAGTACGGCCCATGCTGCCTCCCACTATCCCATATCAGGGTCGAGAGGGATTAGATCACTCCCTACGCCCAAGCTAGTGATCATGGCAAAGTTGTAAGGAGTCATCGTCATCTCCCCCGTGGTGGAGAAATGGAAGGGGTTGGTGGTGTCCTACCTGCTATCCACTAAAGCCCCTAAGAGAGGACGACTCGCCACAACCCGAGTCAGGCTAGAGCAGAAGAGACCAAAGCCTGTCTCATCAATAATGTCGCGAACCCTAACTGGGAGCTCACCGTACCAGTCTTGAGCAGTCATCGTACCGTAGCCTCTGAAAGAGTAGGATCCGTCCTGTGGTAATACATGAGATGAAAGTATATCAAGCAATGAAGGAACAGTTGAATATAAAACAGTAATGTATGAGATACAGTCAGAGCAAGGTAGTCTATGAGATGAAATCAGATCAAAACCGTGCATGGAATGCAAACAGTTAAGGGTAGTACTGCAGAAAAATAATGTTCGTAACTCTGCGGCGATGGCCGACAAATGAGACGCTGGCTCTCTCAGTATAAGGTCATCTGGCACATCCTCAGCGAAGTCAGTAAAGGCTTTGATGCCTCCTGTGGTAGGCACTATATGAGTCTCAGGATGGTACCCCGCTGGATCGAAGGGGCGTATGCTCGGCAGTAATAGCTCCAACTCGGCCTCAAAGTTTGCCTCGAACTCTACTGAAGGAAGCTTGGGGATAGCCTCATCATGAGGGACATCATCTGCCATCTGAAATAGATGCAAGAGAAGTAAAAGTGAGGAAAAATGAGGAAAAAGAGTGAAACTTTGAAAAAGTCAACCCTAGGAGAGAGAAAAAAGTCAAAGAAAGTCAAAGTCGGGAAAAGTGTACTAAGCTTGAGAGAAACTCGAGGGCAATAAGCCTAGAATGGTGGAAATGAGGAAAGAAGTGTCGAAATCAAATTCTGATCGGTTCAAAGTGAAGAGAACTAGAGAGTTTTAGCGAAGAAAATGTTTTTAGGGTGTTGGAAAACGTGTAGGACACGTGGATCTAGAGAGAAGGAGCACCTAGAGAGCAAGGGGGAAGAATTTCGGACATAGGTTTGTGAGGAAATGAAGTGGCATCACTTGTTTTTAAAGACCTAAGGGTGAAAGGTTAAAAATGCCCAAATCTGCCATCGATGGTCGGTAGTGGCACATCGATGGCCGGCAGTAGCATATTGGTGGCCGGCAGGCACTACAAGTGGCCGACAGGTGGCCGGCGGCCTCCCTTGATGGCCGGCATGCTTCCACAATCTTCTCCTGACTCCTTGGCTTTAATTTGTGTCCTTGGATTCCAATAAATACAAGGTATGCTCATAGTTTGATTCAGAATGCCTTCGCGGAAGCTCAGAATTGCGTTTCCAGTGCGTGATGGTCATCGCTCATTAGCTTGAACAAGGTGTATTCTTTTTGACATATTGCAACTCTTTCGAGAGGTAAATCGAAAGTTACCTTTGAGTCGTCTTTATCAAACATGTTTTGTCGTTGCATAGAATGTGCATTTCTTTGTCGCTGCATGGAACATGTGTTTTGAATTGTTGCATAGAACATGCATCACCATGTTTGCATATAATATGCATGTTGCATTGAATATGCATCATTGATTACTTTGCATAGAATATGTTTCTATTTTGTTTCTTGCATGTTGTGCATGAAGCATGCCTCTAACATTATGCTACAGTCTTTCGTCTCGCATAGAATATGCATTCCTATTGTGTTGTACCTGTCAAGTTTTTTTCTTATGCAGACACTATATTGTATGTACGGTTCATTCAAGGCTGGTGCAACCAGATGATACTGTATGTACGGTTCATTCAGGGATTCCAGGTAAGGTCATTCCTGCCCCCTCTTTTGAAGCCTTGTTTCGGTTAGAAGCGTTTGGGACGTGTGTCCGACGCTTATACCACCTTGCTTTGGTTAGAAACATTGGGACATGTGTCCGATGTTTATACCACTCCCCTGTTAGAAACATTAGGACGTGTGCCCAATGTTTATACCACTCCCTGGTTAGAAGCTTTGGGACGTGCGTCTGACACTTATACCACATTGCTTTGGTTAGAAACATTGGGACGTGTGCCCATTGTTTATACCACTCCCTGGTTAGAAACATTGGGACGTGTGCCCGATATTTATACCACTCCCTGGTTAGAAGCGTTTGGGACGTGTGTCTGATGCTTATACCACCTTACTTTGGTTAGAAACATTGGGACGTACGCCCGATGTCTATACCACTCCTCGGTTAGAAGCGTTTGGATGCGTGTCCGACGCTTATACCATCTTGTCTTGGTTAGAAACATTGGGACGTGTTCCGATGTTTATACCACCCTCCGGTGTTTACACCACTTCTTTTTCTCCTCTCGCGTGTGACGCGCTAGGATGTGTTTTGTTTGAGCCCTCGGGTGCGCCTGACAGTCGCTCTTAGCCTTTCCTACATAAGGCGCAGTTAAGACTGTATAATTTTCTTACATCCTTTCTGCATGAAACGCGGTTCAACTTGTGATTCTCACGCGTGGCGTGTTTATTTGCGTACTTCTTCTCATGTGTGAGATTGCTGTACCTCGTTGGTTTGCTTAAAATGTGGCATTTTCTTTGCATAACATTTGCATTTAAATGCTTCATTACAGCCTCATTGCATGATCATAAGTTACGCTTTTGCATTATGCATACCATTTGCATTTTGCCCCAGCCTACGGGCACATCTATATATTGTTATCTTAAATGTCTGTCTAAGTCTTGCAGCCTTGTCAAAATGGGTCGTCTCTAGGCTTTGACATTCACTCACGTCATCTTCGTGACTCTGAGTTTTGTCAAAGAGGGGCAACTGTAGACAACCCATTTTTGACCGTCCTCAAAACTTGGATATTCTTGCAGGTACATCCAGTGACAAGTTTGATTGTTCGTCGAGCACTCGAACTCCGCGACGGAACGCCACAGGTTTGAGCTTTCCAAACCCTGAATCAATTCTATCTCATTTTTGGACCATGTTTTGGTCCTTCCAGCATGTTATTCTTGATGCACTGCCGGCTATGTTAAGGCACTGTCGGCCATGGATTTTGGCCTGCCGGCCACCAGTGTATCAGTAGATATTTTCTGATATTTTGTGCCAGTTGTTTGCATAGGTTGAGCCATCTGCTTGCACGTGTATGACTGGATCTCTTTGAGTCTTCTATATATAGAAGCCTTCCTCTTGCATGCTCAAGGTTGGAAATTTTGAAGACAAAAATTTCTCTCTCCCTCTCTCTGTAGAATCCTCTCTCTCTAAATATTTTTCCTTAAAGCCTAAATTTTCTACACTCTTGCTTGTGAGCTCTTGATCAAACTTGATCACCGTTGTGTTGAGGTTGCTTGAAGTCCTATTTGAGCTCTAGAAGGGGATATTAGCTTGGTTTGACTTGCCTTTGTTGCTTAAATAACATCATGTCTTCAAAGAGGTAGAATACTTGTATTTTAAGTCTAATTTAAATACTTGTTTGGCCACCTTTGCATGCTATTTTGAGGCTAGTTTTAACCTCTGAAATCTCTGTTTTTATGGTTTAAAATGGAGGTTTGAGGTTTGATTTGAGTTACGAGTAGTCCACCCTTTTTGTAGCTTGTTTATTAAAGAGTTGTGCCATCTTTCAAAGCTTTTAAAACAACTTTTTTTGGCTCATTTATCCACTGAATTCTAGGGGATTTTTAGTGGTAAAAACCTTGTTTTGAGGTCCAAAATAAGAGGGTAGTCTCCCCTCCTTATGTCTTGTTTGCAAATGGAGATAGCCTAACATGTGAGCATGTTTTTCTACCTTTTTGTGACTTGATCTCAGCATGTTTTAGCTACTGATTTGGCATGATTTAACTCTGTTTTGGGCTATCTTGGTCATATGAGCCTTGTCTTGCATTGTTGTAGTGCAAATGGCCTTCATTAGCTCATTGTTTTAAGGCTGTAAACTTGATTTTCTTGAGATGTTTGCATGTTGAAGTGTCTTTTTACATGTAATTTTAGTGTATATAGCTCTGTCACATGTTCATTTATTTCACTCTTTCATTGCTTTTGAGAGTTGTGTCTTAAGTCTTGTTTACAAGCTAACATGTGAGCATGTTTTTCTAGCATTTTTTGCTTCAATCTCAGCATGTTTTAGCCTTTGTTTTAGCATGTTTTAACTCTGTCCAGAGCTGGTTTGATCAATTGAGCTTTGTATTGCATGCTTATGGTGTTGTGATCTTCACTAGCTCAATGAGTTAGGCTCTTAAACATGTTATGCATGTGTTGTTTGCATGATTTAGTGTCATTTTGCATGTCATTTCAGCACTGAATTATCTGCCACCTCCCTCATTTCTTCACTTTTCTATTTTCTTTGAGGTTGGCTAGCCTTAAGGTTGTGTTTAAGCTTGAGATTGAGACTTGTGCTTAATGGTTTTAATCCTCTTTTGAGGGTTTCTACTAACCAAAGGCATGATCTCTCTCATGTCTTAAATCATCCTTTGGTTGACCCCTATCTCATTAGAGGACTCTCACCTTGGACAAATTGACTAAAGAATGGATCGGTAACTAAAATGAGTAAATAAAATTGGACAAGTAAAACTTGAGCAAGATAAGTATGTTGTGTTTGCATCGCATGTGTTCAATCGGACGTTATATTGAACACAAGGTAGATTGGAGTATTTCATACTCAAAGTGATGAAATGAGCCAATCTCCTTTGTCTCCATTGCCTTTGATCATTCATGACAAGGTTGTGGTCTAGAGTCTTATTTTTGTGCATTTATTGAAATTGTGCAACTTGGATCTTTGGCCATCATGCATTGAAAATGCTTGATTGTTGGTTTTGGATCCAAGAGTGCCACTCCTTTGATGTTTTGATATGATAAGAAGGGGCACAGTACAAACATATCCTTGGAAAACCCTCTATTTTTCTCTGTTTATGCTCTGTTGCAGTGTGGGGATTCAGCACACTAGTGGCCGGCAGTGCTTCATCCTTAGCCGGCATGGCACATTTTTGGCCGGCAGGGGGCCGTTAACAAGTATTCATGGCCGGCAGGTCACCGGTGCAGTCCTCAGCGTTGGTTTGGTAAGGTGGAGTAGAAAGTTCCAAAGTGTAGTTAACCCTACAAATAGAGCCTCTCAAGAGCAAACCGGAAGGCTTTTCGGGGCGAAAATCGAGTGCATGCATCTTCTACTTTCCAAAGCAGAGCTGAGGCAGTGTAGTTTAATGCTTTGCATGTTTCGTTAGCATGAATTTGTAATTTAACTAATTAGTTTGCTAATTAGTTACGTGTTGTAATAATTAGTAGTTTGCTAGTTATTCATTTGTTTTGTAATAATTAGTTTAATTAGTTTAATTAGATTAACTTAAATTAACATAGCTTAGCTTAGATTAGCTTAGTTTATTCATTCGAACCCTCATTTGCGAGGGCGCAATGTTGTAATACGTGTGCGTGCGTGTGTGCATATCTTCTAACCCCACATCTTTCACCCTTTTATTTAACCGCTTTCGATGGTTAATTTAGGAACATTTTCAATTAGCATACCTTATGCTTGCATGTTTGCATTCATTCATTTGTCTTGCATGCACCGAGGCTCGGCGCATCATTCAAACTGCATCGTATTCAATACTTCTTTGAATATATGTATCAAATTGTTACATTCATATGCCATCTTAGTAGCCAAGTCTATTAATTTCATATTGCATGTGTTGCATTAGGCATCTTAACATAGTTAGGATCATGCATTGTTTTTAATTAGCTTTTATTTTGGCTTGGAGTACACTGTAAGTTTTACGCTTTAGCATACTTGCATGAGTGTGAGTGTTGCCATGATAGTATGCGTGACATAAGACTATTTGCTTATATGCTAAACTGCATGAATGCCTGTGAATGAAGACTTTGTTGCTTGAATTGGAATGATTCAACAAATGTATGTTTTAAGCCCAATTTGCGAAGTGGCAAATCATCATGTTTTAAACCCACTTGAGGTGGCAAATCCGCATTTCTAAGTCCACTTGAGGGTGAAAAATTCAAACCATTTTAAAAAACAAACATGAATTGAATTCGTTCCAAGTCTTGCGACTTAATCTATACTTGATTGTGTGCGCGTCACATAGTAAAGCTAGATTAATAACCAGAATAAGAACACATGAGGTTTATGAAACAACATATCATGCTTAGTAGAGGCCGATCCTTTGATCGGGTTAGCGGGAGTGCTCATTTCAGGACCTTCCCCTCTCGTACCCAAGTTCCCAAGCTGAGACAACTTTGGTGATGACGGACACGTGGCCTTTGGCACGAGTCAGGGTTTCCTAAATTTTTTCAAAAATAAAATATTTAGGTAGCGACTCTATAATCTGGCAAAGCAATCTAGTTTTGGCATTATTTGATTCAAAATTTGATTTTTCAAAATGATTTGTCGGATTTGACTCTTTGGTGTTTATCAGTTTCACATTACACTTTGTGAGACTAGATTCAGAACTGTAACAGGAGTCCGAACTGTAGTACCAATTCGAGCCCTCCGAAAAGGGGTGCGAAGAAAGTCGAGCTACAAATACATAGAGAGTGGGTTTAATAGTTTTTATGAATGGTATTTCTTGTATTAACTTGTGAAAAGTAAAGAAAAAGTTTAACCAATAAGGATTTTTATAATTAATTGAATAAGAATGAGGTTTCTTTTAGAACCCTCACACTTTGGTTAGTTAGTTTCTGCCTTATTAGTCATTGAAAAACCGATGCGTTACATTTGCCAACCTAACGACTTGTTTTCGCATTTTTTCTCACATTTTTGTTTCTAATTCTTTAATCGTGCATCCTATCAACGCGTCGCTTGCTCTCACAAGTTTTTTTAATTTAGGGTGAGGTGCCCTTGATGGTCTTCGGATAATGTGGTGGTTGTTTTGGATTTTTTTCCCCATATAAATTTGAAAGAAATTAAAGAGACTTACCCAATACATGGCGATCGAACAAACTAAAACAAACAAAGAGGGAACAAACAAAACAACCTATTCACATTAATGTATTTAGAAAGGAAAAGATTGAATACACACCTAACATTATTTGATGTTTTGTCTAAATTTAGTGTTTTTGGCTGTTCAAAACAAAAAATAAAAAATTAGTGTTTTCGAGGGAAAGTTTTCCATTCCAAAACACAAGTACCAAAATGTGGATTCCTGGAAGACTTCATGTAAGATACAGATAACGCAGCGGATAAAATGATTCAAACCATACCTTATGTGATAGAATCTGAAACGAAGAACCTTGTGGGTAAATTACGTGTTTTATAACCACGAACTAAGAACACCCAGTAATGGAGTGATATATAGACTAAAGATGTTCATAGTACAAAAGTCGTATCGTTATCTCAATGGAATAAAGTTAGAGAGTATGGGAAAAAATCATTCGTGATTTGATTCATCCCCACATCCCATATACCGTATCTAATATATAGACTAACCATCTATCCATATCTCCTAAGGATATGATAGATATAGATAGATAGTAGGTTATCCTAACAAATAGGATAATCAGGAAATCAAATTCAAATTACATGGGTAATTTGAATGGGTCATGGGTCATGCCACATGGGCGCCCAAACCCAGGTCCAATACCCAGCCCAATTTCCAACACTTCTATTTTATTTGTTTAGCTTCAAGACATCTATTATCTTTAGAACAACACCCAAACTCTACATGACAACAATAAAAAATATAAAAAAATTAACTCAGATATCAACATGCCATATTACTCTAGAATTCATGGTACCATCATCTCAGAATTCAAGGGACAAAAGTAGTAGGATAGTTAAGAACAAAAATCCATACAAGACAAAATAAATACTCTTTATGGGCCATGCTGAACTTACAATCAAAACATGTTTAAAATAGTGGAAAATGTTGACACACATGAATTTTGTTTACCCAGGACCCATAAAATAGAATATCTTTGGGCCATCTTTATAACAAGTCTAGACAAAGAGGCAAAAACAGGGGAAAACTGATGATTTCCCAAAGGTGTAGAACATAATATACACAAAGCATGAATGAATTTCCAAGAAGAGAGTTCAATGGGGTACCTTGAAGCATGACATTTGTTGAAGTATGAAGATATGGCTTTAACCAATGAAACCCAAAAGGAAAATAGTAAGTAAAAACTATGAGAAGATACAGACCAGTTTAAGCATTAGCAAACTATGAAATTAGAGAGAAACTTAAATATCAGGATCAAATATGTTAGATTAAAAATATGAAAACACCTAATGTAAAATTTTGGCAACAATTCCACGGACAAGAGTCAAAATATTTTCTACATCAAATATAAGGGAAAGATATACATGGTGGTAAGTGACAATCAATCTGCCAATAACATAGCAGATTATCAAGAGTATGGAGGGATATCTTATTATTAGCTACAACTAATCCTAGGCAATGGGATGAGAAGTATGTTTTGGTCTAACCAATGGATGGGAAATAGTTGTTTAAAAGATTTATATTCATGATTGTATTTGCTTTCAAGGACCAAGGATTTATTTGTCTAGGAACCTTTTAATGGCAAGGATGGATTACGTGGCTGGAACTTGAGGTATAGAAGGGAGCTCTTCAAGATGGATGTGTTCAAACTAATCAAGATGTATGAATACAGTCCTTGTCAGTCAAATAATTCTAGGATGCATGTTTATTCTTCAATAAAGTTTTGAAACATACTTGCTGCAAGGAAACTGCATTTTCTCTAAAAGATACATTGAGAACTTCATCTTTTTTCTTAAGTCTCCTTATCCTCTCAAGATTAGAACAAGCAACTTTTAATTGCTCTTTTCCAAAACTAGAACTAGATACATGAAGCTCTTGAAGTAACTCCTCTAGCTTTTATCAGTGCTTCTTCAACACTTTCCAATGCCCTTTAGTGGTAATTTCACTGTCAAGTAGGAATATACGTAGAAAGAAAACAGGGCAAGAATAAGCATAGAAAACCTTTTAACACTAACGCTATGTTTGGTAACTTAGGAGAGAAAAGAAAAGAAATGATTACTTAAGTAATAAGAGAAAAGAAAAGAAAAGAAATGATTGTAATTTCTCTCCTTTTTGTTTGGATAAGTAAGAAATAAAAGAAAAGAAATGATTGTGATTTCTCTCCTTCTTGTTTGGTTAGATTTCATTAAGAGAAAAGAAAAAGAAATTATTTTATGTTATATTACCAAAATAACCTTTTTATATTTTCAATCATTTTATTTCTTTTATTTTTACAGGGGTAAAATTGGTATTATGAAAATATAAACATTTGTGGATTTCTTTTCTCTCCCAATCTCTCCACTTTTGGGAAGATTGAAAATAAGGGTTATGAGAGAAATGAGTTTCTCTCCATTTCTCTCTATTTCTCCCTATTTCTCTCCACTTAAGATAACCAAACAAGGAAGAGAAATACATTTCTCTCTATTTCTTTTCTTTTCTCTCCAAATCACTCAATCCAAACACAGTGTAATAGATCCCACTAGAATAAAATGAACACAATATGTAGTAGCAACTACACTACACATGCAACAGAGAATCTGTGTTACTCTCTCTCTCTCTCTCTCTCTCTCTCTCTCACACACACACACACACACACAGAAAGCCTTGCAATGTTTGTTTTTATTGAAGTGAGTTTTCTGGAAGGGCTTACGAATAAGTTTCCCCCCTCCAAAAAAAAAATTATTAAATTAAATTCATTAAACCAGAATTGCTTCTTTCTTGTTTAGCATTCCCAAAGCTAGAAATCACAAGGAAACAATTGAAACCCTAAAATGATTTTATCTTTGGAATTGGGGAGAGATGCAGGGAAATAGGGATGCCAGGACTGAAACAAGAAACATAGAATCTGATATACATACAGATTACCAATTATACAATTTATATTTATACGTATGTATATATATAACTCTACTTAGCAATTTAAGCAGTTTTTTCACAATTGCTTAAATAGAGCAACAGAAGTGTAGAATTAAGCACAACTTGGAGCTCGTATATGCTTCAAATGTAGAAAAAGGGTAAAACCCTAAATTGATTTTATCAAAATCCTACAACATCAAAAGTAAAATAAAACCCTAGGTCCGCGATGCTAAGGGAAGAGAGAGAGAGAGAGAGAGAGAGAGAGGATAGAGAGAAAGAAAAACATGAATGTGAATGAAAGGGGAGAGCCGCGATGGTTAGCGGCGGTGGACGTTTGACGATGACTTTTAGCAGGGATGGTGGGTTTGTGAGAAGAGGGAGAGCAAGTGACTTTTGTTTGGGTGTATGTAGACACTGATGTACAGAGATAAAAAATAATAATAAAATAACAACAATGATAGAGATAATTAATTTTGGAGTTTTAAAAAGTCCACTAATGACATGACACTCAATAAAAAAAAAAATTCAACACCAAGATTAAAACATCAAATTATTTCTGATGGGTCCACTGCCACATCATTAGTGATAATACTAATTAGTGCTCTCACTCATTTTCTATAAAATAAAACATAACTAGTGAATTGGGCGAAAATTTTGTAATACACTAAAAAAAACCGTTGTTGACTAAATATTTTTACTAACCGAAAATATATATTTAGTGACTAAATTTTTCATCGCTAAAGATTAAATTTAATATTTATGTTAGTTTTTTAGTGACTAAATTTCTTTAGTCATCAAAAATTAATATACAAACGATTAAAATGTTTTTTAGTCATTGAAGATCAATATTTGGCTACTAAATTAGGTACTCACCAAAGATTTAAAATAAAATTATGCTAGTCATTTGGCTACTAAATTTATTTTAGTCGGGAAAAATTAGTATACAACAACTAAATATTTTTTGGTCACCGAAAATGTATATTTGCTTACCAAATTAGGTAGTCGCCAAAGATTTAAAGTTAAACTATGCTAGTTATGTAATAACCCCGACTTATGATTGGCTTATCATCCTTAATTAAGAATGCGTAATGAGTAATTAAGAGGAAATTATGAGTTACTTGAATGTGTATTGTGTTATTTGTGTTTATATCTGTCTGTCGTAGGAATATCTGTTTGACTTTCTGTTTTGATACGTGAATTGAAGGCTTTATCAACATTCGAACATGAAATTAACTAAATCTATGTGTTATTTAGAATTTTTAGAATTTTATAGTAGGTTTAATTGAATTCGATTCAGAACCGAATAATTAGAACAAATTAATAATAATTGATTAAGTTAAGTTAGGATTAATTAAAACCATTAACTAAGCCTATATAAGGCTAGTACAAGCTTCTATTAGAACACTCCAGTCCTTATCTTTTTGAGTTCCAACGTAGAGAGAGGAAAAGAAGGAAGAAAATTGGACTCAACAAAAGAATTGGCTTGGAATCTAGCTAAAGACTTGAGAATTGGGAGAGACAACTTGTTATTCTTGCTAATTCAAGACTTTAATCAACTTCTAAACCTTGTGATTAAGTCATAAATCGTGAGAAATCAAGTGAAATGGGTGATTACATACAAGAATTAAGCATAGAGAAGTGAATCAAGAGCTCATACATGCATGCATGCATATTTCTTTATATTTTGAGCTTAATTTTCAAGAATTCTCATATGCATGTAGTTATTCTGGCTTGGTTTTGGAAATTCATCAAGTTCTACATCATTTTACCTCAATTGATCATGTTTTGGAAGGAAAGAAATCATGTTTTATCATGCATGTGTTATACATTGAGTTTCTAGTTTGATTTCAAACAATTGACTTGCTCTTGGGCCTTGAATTTGCAAAACGACTTTCAATTCATCAAGTTCTTCATGAAAATATTATCTTGGAATGTTAGAGAGCTAAGAAGGCCAGAAAAAAGGGAGGAAAATTGAGCACCTGATGAAAGCTAGGAAGGTAGATGTTTTATTGCTCTAAGAAACAAAAATAAGTACTATGGATGATTGTTTTGTGAAATCCATTTGGCCTTATGAGGAGATGGATTTTATGGAAGTGGATTCAGATGGTAGTGCAGGTGGACTATTGTGCATTTACAGGCCAGACATTTTCAAGCTCAGAGACTGTTGTTGTGGTAAGAATTTTATTCTTCTATCAGGTACATCATGCTATTCTTTTGAGTGTGTCATTGTCAATATCTATGCCCCGAATGAGACTGTGTGTATGAGACAGCTATGGGAGCTTCTGGTTAATGTATACCCACATTATTCAAATCCTTGGTGTGTGGGTGGGGATTTCAATGAAATTAGGCTCATGTGTGAGAGGAAAGGGTGCTCAAGAAGGGACAGGGGGAGGAAGGATTTTAATGAGTTTATTGACAAGTTAGAATTGACAGATTTGCCTATGCTAGGTAGATAGTTTACCTAGTGTAATACACTAGATGGGAAAAGGTGGAGCAGGATAGATAGATTCCTGTTGGATCCAAGGTGGTTGGAAAAGTTCTCTCTCAAGCAATGGGGTCTATCTAGAACCATATCAGATCACTGTCCCATTCTATTGAAGGAGGATGAAAGGGATTGGGGTCTCAAACCCTTTAAGTTCTTAAATCCTTGGCTTTCACACCCTACCTTTTTGACTGAAGTTAAACAAATTTGGGAGAATATTCAAGTATCAGGATCGGCAGGGTATAGATTAATGAGGAATTTGAAAGAACTAAAATCTCACCAAAGGGTGTGGAACAAGGAGGTGTTTGGTAATATTGATAATCTTTTGAAGTCAGCTGAGGAGGAGTTGCATGATTGGGATTTGAAGGCAGAATCTCGAACTCTAGCTGATGTGGAACTCAGCAAAAGAAGAGAAGATAGAAGTCTGGTCTGGAAATTAAGTAGAGATAAAGAGAGGTTGCGGCTTTAAAAGTGCAGAATGCTATGGGCTCGTAATGGTGATAAAAACACTAGGTTTTTCCATATCATGGCCAGCAGGAGACAAAGGAAGAATATGTTAGATTCAGTTTGTGTGGAGGGAGTGAGCTTTGAGGACCCTATACAGATTAAAGAGGTCGTGGTTAGGCATTTTAAGCATCAGTTTTTAGAGTCTTGGACTATGAGGCGAAAGATTTCAGGTCCTTTTAATGTTATTAGGCCAGAGGCAGCAGTCAATTTGGAAGTAGTGTTCTCTGCAAATGAGATTTGGGCAGCTCTTCAAGATTGTGATGGGAGCAAGGCCCCTGGACCATATGATTTTAATCTTGCATGCATTCAAAAGTGTTGGCCTGTTATGAAAAGTGAGATTATCCAAATGATTCAATAATTTCATACAAATGCTAAAATGTCAAGTAGGATCAATAGCTCCTTCATTGTGCTTATTCCTAAGAAGGATAATCCTTCAGGAATGGGTGACTATAGGCTTATTAGTTTGGTTAGCTCTATCTATAAGATCTTGGCAAAGGTATTGTCCAGAAGAATGAAGGAGGTACTTTCAACTGTGATTAGTGAGGTGCAGTCAGCATTTGTTAGTGGTAAACACATCCTAGATAGTGTGATGATAGCTAATGAAGTTCTCGATGGGAAGCACAAAGCTAAGAAGAAAGATATAGTTCTGAAATTGGATTTTGAGAAAGCATATGACTCATTAAATTGGGAATTTTTGTTGTCAATATTGGGAAATTTTGGTTTTGGCACAAGGTGGATTCGGTGGATGAAGACTTGTATCACAACAGCTAAGGTGTCTATATTGGTCAATGGTGCACCCGCTGAGGAGTTTCAACCACAGAAGGGACTAAGGCAAGGAGACCCATTATATCCATTTTTGTTCATTGTTGCTACTGAAGGTTTTAATCTCTTATTGACAAGGGCCATAGAGAAGGGCTTGATCAAGGGTGCTTCAGTAGGCTCTGATCGATTGGGTATTTCACATTTCCAATTTGTAAATGACACTATCATTTTTTGTGAAGGTGACATGGAGGAAGTTCTGGACATAAAGAGGGTATTGACGTGCTTTGAGGTGATATCTAGATTGAGGATCAATTATCATAAAAGTGTTGTTTGTGGGGTGGGTTTTCAAGAGGACCAAACTAAGGAATTTGCTAAGGCTTTGAATTGTCTGTCTAAGAAGTTGCCATTTAATTTTTTAGGCTTGCCTTTATGGGCCAATCCCAGAAGGAAAAGCACTTGGTCTCTAGTTGTGGATAAGATTCAAAAGAAGCTCTCTTCTTGGAAGAGGAAATTATTGTCTTTTGCTGGTAGATTGACTCTTATCAAATCAACCTTATCCAATTTACCAATCTATTTTCTTTCTATTTTCAAAATGCCTAAGGGGGTTGTCAAATCTATGTCTAAACTTTAGGCCAATTTTCTGTGGGGAGGAACTGAATCCATTAGGAAAGTACACCTAGTCAAATGGAGCGAGGTCACCAATAACAGAACCAAGGAGGTCTAGGTGTGAGGGACTTAGGTGAGGTTAATGACTGCCTGCTATTAAAGTGGTGGTAGAAGTATGGCTATGATGATAAAGCTTTGTGGAAATCTGTGGTATGTTCTAGGTATGGCAGAATTGGTTGGGGATGGACTCCTTCAATGAGTCAATCAGCAGGGGTCTTAATAGTTTGGAAGGATATCTCATAGCTATCTGTGGCTAACCAGCAATTGGGTGAATTTTTTGGTTACCAGGTCAAAATCATAGTTGGCAATGGGAGGAGAATAAAGTTCTGGTACGATGCCTGGTTAGGTAACAGAGGTTTGACGGAGGAATTTCCCAGATTGTTCAATTTATCCACAGAGAATAAGGAATCTTTGTAGCGGATCAAGGCAAAAATTGGTGTCACAGGAGGGTGGCAGCTTCAATTTAGAAGGAATTTATTAGCTTGGGAAGAAGAGGAATTACAGAGGCTGTTAGGCATGTTGGAATTATCTCCTTGTCTCAGATTCGGTATAGAGGACTCTTGCACCTGGTTAGCAGAGAGGACAGGGCAGTTCATAGTAGCTTCTGTGTGGAGGTAGTGGGTTGCAGCTAAAGGGCCTGGTCTAGCAGTCCCAGCAAGGGTTTGGGTGAGTTTTGCCTCTCAAAAAATGTAATTTCTCTGTTGGTTGGCTTGGCGAGGCAGGGTTAAAACAGCTTCATTCCTTCAAAGAATAGGGGCTATTGCAGTGAGTGCTAATAACCTGTGTGTTTTCTGCAAAGCCGAGGTGGAAACTGTTGATCATGTGCTCATGTTCTGTCCTCTGGTGTGGAAGTGCTGGTCTCATTTGGTAGACTGGTGGGATTAGATATGAGCTATTCCAGGTTCAGTAGCAGGGTTGCTACATTGGTGGTCGGCTGGCAAGTTTAAGTTCAAGTCTTAGGTACTCAAAATCTGGCAAATTATCCCCTCTGTTGTCTTTTGGTTTGTCTGGAAGTTGAGGAATGAGTGTTTGTTCAAGGGTGCCCATCCTGATTTTCAAGTATTTTGTGAAAAAGTTAAGATGCAGATTGCTTTATGGACCAAATGGCACTTGAAGGTGGATTACTCAGTTCATGACATTATATCCAATCTACACCAAATCAGGTTGTTTTGAAGTACCAGGAGTGTAGAGGTGGTGTGCTGGTTGTCAGAAGGGGGAGGTGCTCTGATATGTTGCAGTGGACTACTAGTGTTTGGTGTTTTGATGTATAATTGCATTTGCTGCTCTATATAGCTCTTCTGTTCTGTTTGCTCTGCTATTCTGTTCTACACTTGAGCTTTGGTTGTTTTTTGTGGAGGCTGTTGTCTTGCTGTTAAGCTTGCTGAGGGGTGGAGAGCAATGTTATCTTTGTGTTGTTTTGGGTGTTGTTCTGAGTGTGCTACTGTTGGTTTCTTACCATCATTTTGCTTGGTTTTCCCTTTTCTCCTTTCTTCATTCTCATCCTTATTAATGTTCCCCCATATGTATTGTATGGTTTCGTCATCAATAAAGATTGTCTTTGCTGATCAAAAAAAAAAAAAGAATGTGTTTTGAAGCTTGAATTTGAGTTTTGCATCTTGAACAGCAATCTGAAAATTCTAGAATTCTACATCTTCGCTCAAGCGACCACCATTTGTTTTGAACTTTGGCTCGAGAGACCAATAGTTGGCTCGAGCGTAAAAATCAAGCTCCCAATATTTTTGCAGACATGAGCCTTCACTTGAGCGACAGAATCTACGCTCGAGCGACCACCCTTTGTTTTTAGACATGGCTCGAGAGACCAAACTCGTCATTTGAGCATAAAACGTGAGCTCTCAGAAGTTTTGTAGACTAAGGGATCCGCTTGAGCGACCAAAGTTACGCTCGAGCGAATTGCCCTATTTTCAGAAATTTGACTAAGTGTTTAAAATGTATTTTTGCATCCTCATTGCATCTAAGGCATTCTTAGGCCATATTTAAGCTACAATAATGAGGATAAGAGTTAGAAACACACGCTAAGGAAGAAGAATGATAAGTTACACACCTTTGAGTCGTGTGTCCAATGTCTATCTGTCACGTGTTTATGTAGGTCACGTGTTATCGCCCGCCTGATCAGTTTGTTCTGTCCACGTGAATTTTTTTTCCTACTAGACCTATCTGTGAGTAACAACTCTATAAAACTATGTTGATTATAAGTATTTTCTGACTGAAATGATATGATCTATTTTCTGAAATGTTATGTTATGAATCATGAATGAATGTCCAATTTTTCTGAAATGTAATTGTGGCATCCTTAGTTCACGTGGCCCTCACTCGGGAGTAACAATACCGTGGCTTATGTTCATGTGACCCTCACTCGAGGTAACACTATTGTGGCCAATATGCATGTGGCCCTTGCCTGGGGGTAGTAATATCGTGGTCTATATTCATGTGGCCCTTGCATGGGGGTACCAATATCGAGGCCTATGTTTACGTGGCCTTCGCCTGAGGGTAACAATACCTTGGCTATTTGTGTACAAAGATATTGACCTTTATGGTCGTCAGTACCGACTATGCACATAGGTCTTATGACTAATCTGATTTGATAGCTAATAGATGTACCACATATAACTGCTTATGAATTCTGTATAAGTATGTGAATCTGATTCTATTTCTGATATGAATTCTGATTTCTGATTCTGTTTTGGACATCATTCATAAACCCTTTACCTTGTTATTCACTGGGCTCCAGCTCACTGTATTATTTATGTATATAGGTGATCAGACACGGGACCAGGCCTAAGCTGCTGTCTGGAGTTCTTTTTGGTCAGCCAACCACCATGCCTCCCGAGGAGGTTCTTAAATTAAGAAGTGGTCAAGTTTGGTGTACCATGTTTAAGACTTCTGTTTTTCTTTTGTTTTGTCTAAATAAGTTATCATACCGTTGTGTATTGGGTTAAGATCCATTTTGGTTTATCTCTCTGTATATGATGATGCAAGGATAATGTGTAAATATGTGCATAAGGTTTAAATTCTTCTATCTCATATACGTCTGCACAACTCAATGGACATTGTATATTTGCTATTCGCTTCCGCTAGCCCCTAATAATTTGATTTATGTTTAAGAGGCCTTCGGTAATCTACGAATTACTAGCCGGTTACAATGCTAAACCTATAGGGGCGGGTTTGGGTCATGACAAGTTATTTTGGCTACTAAATTTATTTTAGTTGGCAAAAATTAGTATACCGTGACTAAAACAAATTTGGTCGCCAAAAGTGTAAATTGTTGTAGGGCTTGAATCTATTATATCCCCAAAGTGTTTTATTCAAACATATTTAGTTCCTTGAAAGAATTACAAAAATAAAATATATGCTTATAAATATTATAAATTAGTAAAAAACCCTACCTAGTTAAGATTTTATTCTAAAAAAATCTTAAAATTTTATTTTGTCCTTAAATAATATTTTATTTCACTGTGTGTTTAAATTAGTATCGGAGTCTGATTTCTCAGTCTTGCCAATAAAATAATACGAATA